ACTACCAACTAACACTGACATGACTAACAAAGGTTACACATGCTGTCATACGAACACAGTGGGGACCACAGCCATGGGGCCCACATCAGTGTTCTCTACATTCTAGAATCTTCTGGATATACAAAATCACAAAATCAAAATATACACCTTAATTTTACAAATTCTGAACAGGTAGAGCCTCTCGAAGAAGATCCTCACTCAACCGATTTTCTTGATGAGGATCAGTCAATTAAAGAAATCAGAGACATTCAGCCAACTCCACCAAAGCTTGAAGATGGGGGGCCAAGCCCATCTTTGTTAGTACTTTGCTTACTGAAGGAGAATATAAGGCCTATGAAGCATTACTCCATGAATACCGAGATGTGTTTGCTTGGGAGTATCAGGATATGCCAGGACTTGATCCTAAAATAGTTGTACATAGGGAAACCCTATTCAGGGTGGTTGCTTAACTCCCCCCCCCCATAACCAGAATAGATTAAATTTTAATTTATGTGAAGTGGGCCAGCTGTCAAATTTGGCCCCTCAAGCCTTATATTTTTTTTTTTACATCAAATATATTATAATTTTTAATCCTAAACAGCCTGCAATGAAAATTTCATAAGTGATGAATCATTACTTGATGATTTTTACTTTTTTATAATTTTTCCCTTTTAAGGTAAAGTGGAATGAGAAGTTGGATATTTTTGCTTTTTGAGCTTACCTTGTTGTTCCCCCTAAACCTTAACTCTCTTCTACCACTCTGTTTTACTACTTTCTCTTCTTCTCTAGTTCCTCTTCTTTTACAAGATTGACATGCATATTGTTTTGAGCTCATAATTCTATCTATTAGAAGATATCAACTTCATTGGTTCAACCTGTCTTCAACTTCAAGTAATCTACTTCCACTTTTCCCTTTTTCAAATTTCATTGAGTTTCTACTGTTTTTTTTCCATTTCAAGCTCTAGTTTTGTTTAACTGATATTTTATGTATGCAAATTTTTCCAATAACTCATTGCTTAGTGACTGGTTTAGTACATGGTTTCAAATGTTGCTAATGTCACCCGACATATGTCGATGTCGAGGCTCACCGACATGAAAATTGATGGTAAAATAAAAATTGCATTGGTCGACATTTCCTATATTTCGGAAATGTCGACCAAATCGGTCCAAATAACCAAAAAAGAAAGACAATTTTTCCTATTATGTCGATAGTGTCGATAGGATGTCAACTAATGTACATTAAATAATATAATATAATATATTAGTATATTATATTATTATAATACAGTATATTAATATAAATTATTCCAATAATAATTTCTATTTAATATTTCAAATAAAATATTTATAAAAAATAATTAACAAAATATAAAAACAAAAGAATAAATTAATTACTTTATAATATAAAACA